TGCGGGAGATGTTCCCCACCCCTAGTGGAGCAGCCGTCCCAAAGTTTACATGGGACCCTAAGGTTCACCCTAGAGAATATTTGGATAAATGTAGAGAGGATTGGACCCGTCGAACCGGGTGCCACCCGGGGCAAGAAGGGGTGTAGCGGGAGTGGTTTAGGCGGGCAGTAATGGAGGGGGTCCCAGAGGCAGTTAGGTCAGCTATACTGGGCAACCCGGATCTCCCTGGAGCAGACTCCCATGTGTGGGACCGGCATGTACTGTAGTACACCATTTGCAGAGGGCACAAGAGGAAGCAGATAAGGAAAAGAGCGACCTTAAGGAACTACAGACACAGTTGCTGAAGCTGCAGGTGGGCGAAGCGAGGCAAAAGGCTAATGAAGCTAAAAGGAAAGAGCAGGGAAAGCAGATGGTGGCGGGGGTGTCCCCAGGGGGACCACCCATATACCTGCCCGGCCCTTGGAACGGGCCACCCACCTCCCAAAAGGGAGGGTGGGGCCAGCAATGGGGAAGGGGCCGAGGCGGTTGGCGCCGGGGATACAGGGGCCGGGGCAGGGGAAGGGGCGCTCTGCAAAGGGGACCGCCGTCAGGTGTCTGTTACAGGTGCGGGGTGGAAGGACACTGGGCCAGGATTTGCCCAGCAGCGTTCCCAGCCAATGTGCGTGGCAGGGGAGGCCCTGTCATGGACAAAGAACTGCCATTTCTGGTAGACACGGGAGCCACGTATTCCACTCTTAACGTGGTTCCACAACAATATCATCTGTCTACCTCAACAGTGACCGTTGTGGGCTTCTCGGGGGAAGAACAGAGACTGCCAGTGACTAAGCCGGTGAAGGTTGCGGTGGGAAAACAGACCTTTCTCCACCCGTTCGTGGTGTCTTCTTCCATTCCAGTGAACCTCCTGGGACGGGACATGCTGGTGAAGCTGGGGGCCTCGATCCTGTGTAGTGCAGACGGACTGGTGGTCACCCTGACGGAGGGCACTCGCCTGCGGTGCGACGCCCGCACCGCCGGCTCAGGACAGTGGCTGGTACAGCCGGTCCACAGTCAGGCCCTGGCAGATATCTATTGGGGTCTACTGGAACCCAGCCTGACTGGCATCCTGGCGGCCTACTCAGCGTGGCGACCCTGGATCTCGCTCCTAGAGCCCTATGTACCCCCACCTGACCATCCTCATGTGACCCTTTCCTACGATAGGGATAGTACTGATTGGTATGAGGAACTGTTTGTTGAGCATCTAGAAGGCCGACAGTGGCAAGTTGCCTCTGAGAACTTATATGTGGGTCCCGAAGGGGTAGCCTCAGCCACGCTGCTGACCTCAGAACAGCTGCCCTGGTACATGATGGGACAGGAAGCTGTCCCACACGTTTCTCTGGCCCTTCATCCCAAACACCAGGCCAAGGATTTGGGCCCGATGGTGAAACGGGCCAGAGAAACTGAGGACTGGGTACAGACCCAGATCCCACAGGTCTCCTTCTTGCCCTCCTGCAGTACATATCGCATACAGGTCACAGTACAGGATACAGCCCTCCTGCAACATGAGCAGATAGCTAGAGACAATGGGCGTGAAAAGATGGACCACCCAAAGGAGGCGGCCCTACAGGCCACCCAGACAGTGCTGCGCCTTCTGTCAGAAAAAGGCTTTAAGTTCAGTAAAGACAAATTGCAGATTGCTAGGACAGCAGTGACCTTCCTAGGACGAGTGCTGCCAGGGGCAGGAACAGGCCTCTCCCCAGCTCATCGGTCGGCTATCTTGCATTAACCAAAGCCCATCACGGTAAAAGACATGTTATCTTTCCTAGGGCTCACAGGTTACAGTCGCACCTACATTCCAGATTACACGGGGCTCACACAGCCCCTGAGGGCTCTTGTCCGAGAACACGGCCTACGTAACCTCAGTGTGCCCCTTAACGGGGACCAAGCATCGGAGGAGGCTTTTATCACCTTAAAGCAGAGGCTAGCACAGGCCGCGGACCTAACCCTCCCAGATTACTCTCTCCCGTTTCACTTGGATGTTTCTGAAACAGGAGATGTCGTCAACGGCATCCTGTTTCAGAAAAAAGGGGGAGAGAGGAGAGTGCTGATGTACGTCAGCGTGAAACTCGATACTACAGAACAAAGACACCCCGCATGCACAAGGCACGTGGTGGGAGTGGCCAAAATTATTCAGGAAACAGCACACATGGTGATGGGACATCCGCTGCACATTCTGACCTCGCACAGTGTGGTGGCTTATGTGAATTCACAGACGTTTACCATGACGTCACTCAGGCAACAGAGACTTAGTAAAATACTAGAGGCACCTAACCTGAATTTTTCTCACGAAAGGATCAACATGGCAGACCACATGAGCCCAGTCAGCCAAGAGAGCCGAGGTGATAGCAGTTATCGAGGCCCTGAAACTAGCAGAAGGAGGGGCTGTGGCAGAGTAAGGAAGGGAAGCCAGCCCTTCCCCCAGGCCTTCGCCAGGCAATCTTGGCAGAAGCCCATGGGGTGGGTCATGCAGGGGTGAGACAAATGTTAGAGAATCTGACAAGGTGGTGGCATCCATTTATGAAAGAGATGGTATGTACGGAGTTGCGCTACCTGTACCTTGTATAACTCGCGACCCACAGTCAAGCCTGAGAAAGGGCAGTTTCCAATGTGCACCAGGTCAGGGGAAGAAATTCTTATAGATTATACTGACATAGTGATTCCAGTGAGAGGGTTCAGATATGTGTTGATGTATGTGGACGCATTCTCAGGGTGGCTAGAAGCAGGGTGGCTAGAAGGATGGGGTATCCGTAATAAAGTTTCTGATTAATCAGTATATACCATGACACGGGTTTCCCAACAGGATTCGGTCAGACAATGGGTCCCATTTTAAGAATGAGGACCTCTGGACGGTGGAGAAAGTGTTGGAATTGAGACATGCGTTCAGAACTGTGTATCATCCGCAGTCCCAGGGAAAAGTGGAGCGAATGAACCAAACAATAAAACAAAAATTGGCAAAAATCTGCGCGCAGACCAAAATGAATTAGGTTGACGCTTTACCACTGGCAATGATGTCAGTGCGGTGTTCCATAAACAGGGGGACCAGGTTCACCCCCTTTGAGCTTCAGACAGGCAGGCATCTCCAGGACCCCAGAAAAGGTTAACCTGTACCCCCGACGACAAGGGGGAGCAAAATCCTAGGGCATATTATGATTGTTTGCAAGGTCTTCTGATTAAGTGCAGATTTCTCTAAACAGATTCAGGAGGCGAGACCAGAGAACCAGCCAGTCAAACCACACACGGCGGAGTGGGTCCTCCTGAAAGTCATCAAACAGAAGTGGTCAGAGCCCAGGTGGACGGGCCCCTTCCAGGTCATTGAGAGGACGTCACACGCGGTTCGTCTGAAAGGCAAAGGCGACACGTGGTTTCACTGGAGCCAGTCACGGACCCAGGGAGAACCACAGCAGAGATCCAGGAGGCCCTGAGGGAAGGAACCCAGAGCGTCAGTTCGGCTGAACTAGACGCAACTCAGGTCTCAACAGAAGGGGCAGAATAATCCCCTGACCTGAGCAACCAGAGCAGGGTAGTCCACCCCTGCTCCAACGACCAGAAAAAACAAAAGCACCTCATCCACCGCCAGACAACACTAGGACCAGGATGAAGATCAAGATAAAAAGGGGAATGTTGGGGGAAACAAGTGTGTTATGTGTGATGCTTAAAATGCTTAAAGTATTAATGATTAGTAGTTTGTGAGCCATGCCAGCCATGGACCCCGAAGGGGGGCCGCGCCTGTGGCGGGCTGGGAGTGGAATTTCCCTGAAGCTCAGGGTTTTTGCCCTCCTTCCTAGGCTGGATGAACAGGATTGTGTGTGGAACTCTTTGGAGTCCTAAAGAGGGGAGTGTGCACTATGTTTGGGGAAGTATGCTGTACTTGCATTCCTAATAACACAGCACCAGACGGCTCAGTGACCAGGGCACTCGAGGGTCTCCGGACCCTCTCCAAAACAATGCATGCACACTCCGGGATCAATAACATATGGGATGCTTGGCTGACCTCAGCGTTCGGACAGTGGAAAGGCTTAATGGGCTCGCTTTTATTATCCTTTGCTACTTTTGCTGCGATTTTAGTTACTTGTGGGTGTTGTTGTATTCCCTGCCTGCGCGCACTGTCAGTTCATCTCATCACTACCGTGATAGAGAAGCGGGATGGCACCTATGCGCGGATGATGCCTCTCCTGCCTGTCGGGCCGGAGAGAGGCAAAGGTCATTTGGACAGCTTTGAACTACACCTCCCCCGCCAATAGGGTGATCTCCTTGCGGAGATCAAAAGGGGGAATGCAAAATTTAATAAATAAGGCAAAATATTAATAATCAGCATAATCAGGGTGATCTCCTTGCAGAGATCAAAAGGGGGAATTGTGGGATTCAATAGAATTATAAAGAACATACAATGAATAGAGGAAAAGGAGAATATAGCTTAAAGCCGGGCATGATGAAAAGGGGGGGGGGGTTCATTCTAAAAAATGCAGTTAACTGAAACGAGAACTGACTGGCGCCGGCAGGGCAAGGTTACCTAATCGAGACAGATAGAGGGAGCCGACAGACAACGTAAGCAGCCCTTACTTATCTGTAGCCTTCCACAAGGACAAGTACTAACCGACTAACTAGAGTAAATGTCAAATATGTGGTTGTCACGTAGACGGAAGGTACCGAGAGAGGGGGGGAGATGGCCAAAGGGCTTTAAAAGGGATACAGCTGATACATATGGCAGAGCTTCCTCCTGTACATGCTGAATGTATGTCAGATGGCCGCTCCCGGATTGCAATCTGTCAGAGAATAAACTGGAGACCTGCGACTTCTCCACGTGTCAGCTGTGAATCTCTTGACCCGGTGGAGACGGCGTACTCCAACAGTACTCGAAGCCTTCCGAATTGGTGACCATTAGTGACACCAAGTGGTCAAATAAGGAAATAACACTTAATTTTGAGTGAGTGCAGTGAATCTGAATATTTATAAACTGGCACAGCCTGGTGCATATCCCAGAACCTCAAAGGGTCTTCAGTATGTGGTATATTGGGGTCACTGAGGTTCGCGCCTCATTTTCACTTTTCTGAAGCAGTCACGTGGTTGAGCGCAGAACGAAGCTTCGGATCACCATGGTCAGGTGTTTAGGGTAGAACGGAAGAAGCATAGAAGTTCTGCTTCAGAACGCACTGTATTGTTTTTTTTGACACATGCCTCGGAGCTTCGGTGTTAAGCTTAACATGACTACCCCAGAGCATCTTTAAACGGTAGGCATTTTCACATGGGGATATTAACACTGCACAAGGGCTAACCCCTGGGCGATGTAGTCTTGCTACTCTATTAACCCATTTTATTTTAGAGTGCCGCGAAGGTACCGTTTTAGGCTTCCATGATTTTGTGATTTGAAAAATTGATTTAAGCAGAGTAAGTGATCGCACAATCAGCTGAAATTTCATATGCTATCTGAGTAAAATGTAACCATTTATTTTCGCAAGTATAAAATGTTTGTATCATAATGTAAGACTGAAGCTAGAATAGACAGCTACTTATTCAATGCTGTTGAATGTTAAATATTTGATTTAGCAGTGTTGTTGATTTTATAAAGTTGCGACTATAAGTAAATGATCTTACAGTAAAAAGACGCCTGAAGCCTGATTTTGTGGTAGCTGTTATTATATTATCTTTATTATACTGATCAATTATAATGATGCTAATTCTTGTATTGAAAGGAGTTTGACAGTAGTTAGTGTTTAGTACTGCTATAAGGTTAACACTGCCAGGTAACAAAATTTCAAAATGATTAACGGGTGAGAATATTCAGTCACACTTTACTTGATGGTCCACAAATAATGTAGTAATATAGTATTACTACATCATTAATGAATCATGAGGAAACTTTTATCCCAAGAAATTACTGTATTTGTTATTATGTCTGTTAATTTTTTATATCTTAGAGAACAACTGAAGGAACACATAATGAATAACTGGTAAAATACTGATCTCATGTTTGTTAATCATTAATGAATCATTATGCATTATTTATCCCAAGCAGTTCCTATATTTAATATATCTGTTAATTCTGTAAATCTTGGTGAATCACTGAAGGAACGAATAAAGAACTATTCAAGGAAGAAGTGATGTGAAATGCTGATCTCATGTTTGTTCATCATTGATGAATCATGACACATCTTTCATCTTAAGTTGCAACTATATTTGTTCATGATTTGTTCTTCAGTAGTGACTGAGTCACTACTAAGTATTTGTGGACCCTCAAGTAAAGTGTTACTGAATATTCATTCATAATTTATAAAAGTAATCAAAAAGTAATCAAATGTAATTAGTTACATCACTTTCATATAGTAATTGAAATAGTTATACTACTATTACATTTTAAATTTGGTAACTTATAATTGTAACGAATTACAGTTTGGATGTGTATTCGTATCACTTATTTTATGTACGTGTACAGCGCCAAACAATCATGGCAAACAAATAACTTAATCTCTGTGCTAATAGCAACTGTATGTCTTTGAAGTTTCGAAGTTTCTTACAACCGAATGAACACAGTTATGGTCAAAGAATTGCTTGTAGGCAGTACAATGGTATAATTTCTTTTTGCATGGGACTGGTGTGTCTAATATCATTGCTTACAATTGTAAATAGACTGGAGTTAACATGATCCTTTTAAATCTGTGCCCTGTGTTACAGTCATTTCAGTTCTTTTTAACAGTTTAAATATGTTCCCACAACCCTTAAAAGTTTAAATTTTTAAGTTTAATTTTTTGGACACAGTTAGTTTTGGGCACAACAGCGGCATTGATCAGCTGTGATTAGGTATTTTGTTTTAAGCATTACTTCTGGTAGTTTTCACCTATTGGTAGGCCTACAGAGTATAAAAGGAGTGTAGGGGTCAGTTATTTGAACATCATTTGATGAACCATGTTTATATCTAATCAAAATATTGAAATTGAAAATGGCTTTATATTATTTTTCTTTTCTCATAGGATGTCAGACTTGTATTCAGCAATTGCAGATGAAGATCTGGACCACATAGTGGAGGATATCCAGAGGATCTATCCAAACTCTGGATACAGGATGATCCATGGGCATCTTCAGGCAAGAGGGCTTAGAATCCAAAGTATGTGTACACTGTAGAGAATCAACCAGACTACAGCAATGACATTATAATATGCATTACAAGGATACATTCTTAAAATGACCTGAACTGTTATGTCTACATTAACCTGCCTAGCATGAGTAGTGACTGTTCATATGTTACAGCTTCAAGAGCACGATGCTCTCTTCAGAGAGTGGACCCTGAAGGGTCATGAATAAGGGCTCTTTTAGCACCTATGGTGAGGCACCGCCAATACTCTGTTCCCTGCCCCAATGCAATGTGGCATATTGCTGGAAACCACAAACTGATCAGGTACACCAATATTCAGTTTGAGGTTTTTGCCATATAATTTTTGCATTTGTTCGCATCAGCTACATTTACATTTGCCTTTTTTTTTTCATAGGTGGAGGATTGTGATTCATGGGGGCATAGATGGCTTCAGCCGTATGGTTGTTTATCTTGGTGCATCAACAAACAACAAGGCACTTACTGTACTCAACTACTTCACTGCTGCTGTTAACAAGTATGGCTTACCTTCACGTGTTCGCTCCGATAAAGGTGGTGAAAATACTGCTGTTGCAGAGTTCATGGTGGCAAACAGAGGTGATGATAGAAACTCCCACATTACTGGGAGAAGCGTACACAATCAAAGGTATGTATACATTTCTAGCCGTAAATGTAAAGTTTGCACTTCATTAAGGCTCCTCCCACTATAACATGAAACATGTCCTGTAATATACTTTTCCCTTCTTTTTGGTATGTTAAGCTAATCAGGTCACCAGGCTGTCAGGTTATGTTAAGAGTTAATATTTATAAAAGTGATCAATATTTATGCAGTTAGTTATTTTGGGTATTGCACTTTTAAATGTACATGCTAATTCTTTTCTGTTGAACAGTTTCTAAACTGCAAAATGAAATCTACTGTATTCTAAAGCCCGATCATTAAAAATAACCATAGGTATTGTGCTTTTCTTGGATGGAATTTTTTATGCAAAAGATGTTTTTTGTTTGTTTCAGAATAGAGGCTCTGGAGGGATGTGTATGACCAGGTCCTGGACATTTTTTATCATATCTTCCTCAATCTAGAGGCAGAGGGTCTGCTGAATCCAGACTCAGACATTGACATTTTTGCCCTTCATTGGAGTTTTTTAAATCACCTGCAAAGACACTTGACCTTCTTCATGGAGTCATCACAGGCTCAGGACAGCAGGCAGCCAGATCACTGATCCAGCTCTGGATTGGGCACAGAGCATATGCAATGGAGGATCCTATTCAGGTAAAGTCTGATATTTAGCCAACCCCATATTAACTGAAAGAATGTGTGGTACCAGTCTTTTAAATGACACCATGTTTGTGTGATTACTAATTGTAGGTAGATGAACATTATGGAGTTGACTGGGAGGAACCAGCTGTACACTATGAAGAGGGAGTTGTCGTTCCTGAAGTTGAGTTACCAAGAGAACTCACAGCAGATGAACTGGAATCACTCCCCAATCCAAGTGCTCCCTTTTCAGATGCAGTAGCCACTTACTATAACACAGTAAATCAAATAAAAAGTATACTGCAATTCTAGTCATTAAGCCACTGGCTGAAGCTCATCTTCGTAAGATGGCAACAATTATGCTATATTTTCCACTAGGTAAAAGGTAATTTGAATCATTAAATAATACAGACAGCATGTTCTGAGGTTTAAGAATTTATTTCAGTTGGCAGCATTTCAGAGAACTCTTAGTTTCATTATTGATCAAAATCACCTTAAATGGTTAAAATGAAAGCAACCATACCTTTAAGAACTGGGTGACATACCTGTTGGGCAGAACAGTTTCTTTCTGAAGCTTAACAGGTGAACTACAGTAAGCAACAATGTGACTTTCTGCTAGTGTGGTTCATGCTTGCTTTGCAAAAGATGTTGTTTAAACAATTGTTTAAGCGGAATAAACTACAGTGGTCAACAGTTGAATTGTAACAAACGTTTTAAGTGCCTGTAATGTATTTAAAGTAACAGGAGTTATGTAAATCCAATCCAGACATTAAATCAAGCCAAATCCATGCTCAGTTGTTCACACAGCTGCTTGTAGATCTTTACAAAACTCCTCATACACCATGTAATGCACTGGCAATTTGATTGTCTCCCTACACGTTGATGCAGTTGGCATTGGGACGCTACTTAACTTCCACATAGAGATGCTGCTGAAGAGAGGTCCAACTCACCCAAAACTGAAGAAGTTTCTTCAGCTCATCTGTGGTACCTGTAAAAATATATTTACTATATACTGGGAACTGTCTAATCTCAAAACTTTGACAGTAGTCAACTTGAAGTAATAGCAGTTATCAGTGTTTGGGCAGTGTAAGTCGGTCACTTTGCACACATCCTCCAGATTGCAGTCAATGTCCTCGTCATCGCTGTCTGGTGCTGGCCAAATTATTTTCTCCAGGATCACCTAAACATCATTTAACAAAAGGAAATGTGCTGGTTGTTAATTTGTAAACTGATTATACACTTACAGTAATGTCCATATGAAATTTACACCAACCATAATGTTTCATATACAGTACACTTGATCTGTAAAGTTTCCCAGCATCTTAGTGTTGATATGCCTTGATTTCAAAAGTCTTAATGAAACCTGCAGGAGGACAGGTCTCCTTTGTATTGACATTATGCATAAGAATTCTGGATTAAAGTAAATTACTGAAAAAAATACTGCCAGAATTTAAAAAAAAAAGTTAAAATACTGACATACCTCTGGCTCTATAGCTTGTGCAGCAGTTCTTGGAAACAGCTATTCTATGAGACCTGGTCGTTCTTTAATCATTGAGAGAACCCCCGTATCTTTCTTGATCTGCTGCACGTGCTTTTCTCTCCGACCAAGGACCTATGTAATATCATGAACAAGACATAGGGTTGAACAGCATAAGTAAAATACAGCTCTGGAAATAGTCACCTTTCCCTCATTCATTGCTTTTGTAATTTGTGGGTGAGACTTGTTGGTAAAAGACTTACTGCATGTTGTAGTATTGACTGTGCCAGCCATTTCCTGTTGTCTTCAGTAACCGGGGGAAGGTCCCAGCTTATACTCACTTCTTGCACCTGTCTCTGCTCAGCTTCAGTCAATTTTCCAGGACCCTGAAGCTAATAACATTTAGAAAAATTGGATGTGTTACATAGCAAAAAAATATCCAAGACTGATATGTATCAATCTATTTGGGAAGTTTTTAGAAAATTCATGAAAATGAATACTATTTGGGAAGTTAATCAGGAATTGTGTCCTCAATCATAAAATCTGTCAAAGTGCACATACATTGGTCAGCCCCAATCCTTCTGGATCGGACACAGTAGACCTACGTTATAGAATGTATTTTTTTTGTGGAAAACACTATACAATTGATAATTTGTATTAAACTCACAAGGGAAACAATATCAACAATATCAGTGTCAGGGCAATCTTCTGGTTCAACAATGACTGGCTCATCTTTCTCTCCAGTTAACATCCTGAACAATGAACGACTGAGTCCTGTCAGCAATGGTCCTCCATGGATAAAAGAGTGTCCAATCATACGACCAATGACACGGTAGAGGTCACTGTCCAGTAGGATCCGTGACATGGTTGGTACCAAGTGGTCTTCATGTCCAATGAAAAACAAAGTTCTGCCACAGGTGTCTGGAAATTCACAAATGTCCACTTACTGCATTTTTTACTAGTCCCAACATTTTAAAATATACATAAATATACAATCCAAAAGCTCACCCAAATTAAGGTCAAACCCAAACTGAACCCTGGACAGCGCAAATGAGAAGAAATGGCGTACCACGCCATCTCCTACTGCTGAGTCACCTGAGAAAACAAACTTCATAAGTACACATAATAAATACTGCATACTGATTATATATATGCAAATTACCTAAAATATTTATTCCCAAACATCTACAGTCATCAGCATGTCTAAAATGCAAAGAACAAGTCATTATTTCATGCTATATCACATAAAACTTCCTATATCTACATACAGACCAGCAATGATCCAGCTAACAGGGTATTAAATTACAAGAAGCACTCAATATTACATGTGATCAGTACATACCCTTCAATGTGACTGAAAATGGACTGGCCCAGTTGATCATCTGTTTTTTATAAAATGCCAGCAGTTCCCTTTCTCTGTTTTCAGCATTTTGTGTAAAGTCAATTCTAGCCACCAATTCTGGATGTTTCTCAGCTTGCTGGAGAAGGCCCCTCTGAAACTTTTGGGCTGCAAGCTGCAACTCAGGTTCATGTTTCCAATCTATTGAAACACAATCTTTAAGTGAGAAATTTGTACAACACATTCCCCAGTCCTTACCTAAAATGTCCAGAGTGCTGTTGTGTCTGGTTGAGTCATTGGATTCTTGATTGCTGCTGCTGCCGCCGACTTCCACAACTTTACAATTTTGTGGTCTTCCCCTGATGTTAATGGCTGGATCATGTCGGTTTCTGACAGCCAAGGGTACATGACGGAACTCTGGAAAGGGGCGGTGTCTCACATTTAAGGTCTGTTGCTCTTCATTACCATCTTGTCTATTTACCTGCTCTGACCTGTAACAGAAGACATACTTTTTTTGGACACCATCATGTGATGCCAAAATATGGGGTCCAAAGACAAAGACATTTTTCATCTCATGTTAAAAATGTTTAAAAATGTAAGAGTCATACAAGCTGCATTGGTCCACATGGTATTGCATTTCTGCATGAAGGAATGTTTCATGGCAGTAAATGCACTGCACTTTTGGTCCACTTTCCTCTGTCAGCTTGGAAATATTCTAAAATTATGTGAAATACATTACGAAGAAAGTGTATGGTAAACGTATGACATTCTCACCTGATATTTAAGTATAATTAATATTCTGTCCTAATACAACCTATACTAGGGATGGGCAGTATGCCATCTTAAACAAGACTTTACCCTGCCAGATCCTTAGTATAATATTAAAAGCACCACTGGAGTGCTTATCCCCTCCTCTACATACAGTGAGTGAGTGTTCCACCTAAAAATACAGTTTACTGTTCAAAAGCAACCGCCAGTTGCCTTTTGGCTCTGTCAACTTTCTCTTTGTGGTACTGCCGCTGGTCATAGCAACACATTTGGGGTGTGACTGTTTTCGGAAAGCCATGCTCCAGGAAAGCTTAGGGTCAGCTTTACAACCTAGTTGATAAGACTAAGCAGAATGGACAGTTACTTCTGAAGCAAGTTCTCTTGTTCACACATCAGCGGAGGAAGTGTCAAGAGGACGGAGCCAGCATGCTTACACCACATCCCAAGTGTGCACCCAGTCTGTGACTGTATTGGGAGTTTCGACAGAATGTATATGTCACTTCTCTGTGGACATATACATTCGACAGATCACACAATCAGCTAACAGGTCATGCTTTTGTTATAATTTCATGATTTTTGTGTAGTGTATGCTTAACAATAAAAATATACAAATATTATAACTGATGTAATAATGGATGTAGTGTTCCCCATGAATCATGTATTGTCAACATTTTCAGAAGAAAGTCCAACCATATAAATAGGAAAAAAATGCCAGTTTAGCAAGCAATATGTATTTAAAACATATACTTTTCCATGCTAAGATCTCGCTGAAGAGGTCGAACATAAATAGTTGCAGCTTGAATGCCATATGACTCAAAATATTTCGGAGTGTATCCTTCTACTGGACAGGGGATCATTTCCAAAATCTCGCTTCTTGTGGAACCATAGGGTCTTAATAGTTCAAACCCTCCACCCTCTTTCAGTTTTAGAAACTCCTTCTGAAGTTCTGCTTGGAATTCATCCGATGTGCAATATTTATCTGTTAACAAAAAGGGTTTTTTTAACGCACTTGACGAAATACTTACAAGAAGAGTCAACTTTGGACCAGCCAGCCATATGGATTATTTTTGTGACAACATACATTAACAGTGATTAGAAAGTAAATAAAAGGAACCATAAACAAATAGAAAAATAAGTAATTAGCATGTTAATTGCTTAAATGCTAATTATTCTAAACTTCATTTTAAAAATCTTAATTTTGTTAAAGGTATTTACCATTTATTTTATAATTATTTACTATTTATCAAACTGTAACACAGGCTTCAATGGGCTGTGTGTAAAAGGAGCTGTCAGTGCCCGATCCACGCTGGCTGTCCGATCCGTTTTGCACATGCTCAAAATCATAGCGTATTTGCAGAACATACAATCTGTGTTGGCTGACCAATCCCTTCTTCACACGTGGTTGACATGTTCTACTTCTATTTATTTTTTAAATTTTTTTTAAGTCTCATTACTTTACTCATGAGCATTGTGGAAGCCAGATCTCTGTGTTTGATACTGTGTTCTACGCAGCTCTCCGGGAATATCTTAAGACCCGGAAAATAACACCAAGCATCAAATGGACAAACCCTATATACTATAGGGGCTCCTACCATTTAAACAGAATTCATTCTCTTACCTTTTGCTCATGCATGCAGGGTGTGGTTTTGTGATGTATGCCCAAGCAGGGGCGCGGGTTCTCTCTGGTGTTTAGGCACGTTAAAATAAACTCACTGGTTTTTTGGCGCTCTGCCTGTCTTGACTGCCTCTTTCCTTTTTTGCTGCTGCACCGCAGCTCTACAGTGGTGACCCCGACGTTTCGGTGTGTTTGTTTTTCGCTCCGACCATGCTCGCTAATGCAGTTGCGCTCAAGCTCCCGGAGTTCTGGTGCGGCCAGGCGGCGGTCTGGTTCGTGCAGGCGGAAGCTCAGTTCACCTTGCGCGGGATCACGGAGGACGCAACGAAATATTACTACGTCGTTGCAGCGCTTAAGAGCTCCACGGCAGCTAGAGTGGTGAGTCTGCTGCAGAACCCTCCAGAGGCAGACAAGTACGGTGCCTTAATGTCTCTGTTGCTGGGCACTTGCTCCGTTTTCCGAGACAGAGTGCGCGCGCCACTTGCTCGCGCTGCCCGGGCTGGGTGATTCACGGCCCTCGGAGCTGATGGATCACATGCTAGCTCTCCTAGGTGACCATCAGCCCTGCTTTATTTTCAGTTTTTCATGCAACAGCTGCCTGCAGACGTGCGGGGGGTGTTAGCTAACCTCCCGCTTAAAGACTGTAGAGAGCTTGCTAGGGAGGCTGACAAAGTACACACCGCCAGGCTGGCAGTTTGTGCAGCCGTGTGTGCTCAGAGCTCGGATAGCTCCCCGCCGCTCGCCGAAGCTACTGTTTCTGCCGCGCAGCGGAGCGGTATACCAGGTCTCTGCTTCTACCATGCACGTTTCGGTGAAAAAGCAAAAAAATGCACCCCCCCCTTGCCGTTTTAAGGGGACGGGAAACGCACGGGCCGGCGCTCGTTAGCGGCAGCGAGCGTCGGCAGTTCCGGCAGCCTGCTCTTCGTCACGGATGCTGTGTCTGGCCGCCGTTTCCTCTGCGACACGGGCGCGCAAGTCAGTGTTTTGCCTGCTTTGGTGGCGGATACGCGCTCTGGGACGAAGGGGCCAACGTTGGAGGCTGCTAATGGCAGCAGTATTTTGACTTATGGCACTCGTGTCGAAGCAGACTGTTTTGGTGGCCAGCGGTTCCGGTGGTGTTTTGTGGTGGCGAAGGTGTCCACCCCCCTGCTGGGCGCCGATTTTTTATGTGCCAACAACCTGCTGGTGGACATAAAACACCAGCGCCTGGTTAATGCCAGGACTTTCCATTCGGTGCGGTGCTCGCAAAGCAGGGCTGGTTCGTCTCAGCTGTCTAGTGCCTTGATGGCAAATAACACTTTCGCCTGCCTGCCAGAGTTCCCAGACCTCACCCGGCCCACCGTTACATCAGTCACGGCCAAGCACGGTGTTGAACACCATATTGTTACAACAGGGCCGCCGATCCATGCCCGAGCCCGACGCCTCGATGCCGGTAAATTGGCCATCGCTAAGGCGGAGTTTGCTGCATTGGAGAGCCTCGGTATTGTTCGCCGTTCCAGCAGTGCCTGGGCCTCCTGCGTGGCTACCACCAGGTCCCAGTACATCCAGGGGACATTGCAAAGACTGCGGTCATCACCCCATTTGGACTTTTTGAGTTTCTTCGGATGCCTTTTGGGCTTAAAAACGCTGCCCAGTCTTTCCAGCGGCTCATGGACAGTGTCCTGAAGGACCTTCTGTTCCTGTTTGTCTATTTGGATGACATTTTGGTAGCCAGCAACTCCAGG